CGTCATTATGGTGATCGGTGGTGTGTCGGAGGGAGGAGATTACCTGAGTGAGTGCGTGGGGTATTTCATCGATGAAGATAGGTGGGTAAACTTGCCACACATCCATAACCATCTCGATGGGCATGCTGTTGCTGTGACAGAGTCTTATGTTTATGTGGCTGGCTCCATGGAACCGGGATTTGCCAAGACTGTAGAAAGGTATAATCCAAACAGAAATATCTGGGAGCAGGTCTCAAATTTAATAACCAGAAAGCACTCATTTGGCCTTACTGAAGTTAAAGGAAACTTGTACAGTATCGGTGGACATGGCAATTTCAGTCCTGGCTTTAAAGATGTAGCTGTTTATAATCCCGAGCAAGACAAATGGCATAACCTGGAGTCAGCACCAAAGATCCTTCGTGATGTCAAAGCTGTTTCTGTAGAAGACCGGTTTGTTTATGTTGCTGCTCGTACCCCGGTTGACAGTGATAGTGAAGATGGATTGAGGGCAGTTATTATCAGATACGATGCTGAAACAAGGCAGTGGCAGGACGTAGAGTCTCTGCCGCTCATTGATAATTACTGCTCTTTTCAGATGTCAGTTGCAAACACAAACTTTTACCATACAGCATCCTGCTGCCCCAAGAGTTACCCCATAGACAACGAGGAAGCCAAGGTAAAGATCTCTGGCAGGGCCTCAGATGAGATACTTGAAAGTTTACCCCCAGAGGTCCTTAGCATTGAAGGGGCAGCTATTTGTTATTATAAAGATGATGTTTTCATCATTGGGGGGTGGAAGAACAGTGATGATATTGACAAGCAGTACAGGAAGGAGGCCTATCGCTACTGCGCTGAGAGGAAGCGCTGGATGCTTCTGCCTCCCATGCCTCAGCCTCGCTGTAGGGCAACAGCCTGCCACGTCAGAATCCCCTTCAGGTGCCTGCAGGGCACGCAGAGATACCCGATGCCGCAGAACCTCATGTGGCAGAAAGACAGAATAAGACAGATGCAGGAAAGGCAGATGCAGGAAATACACCGACACTCCCTGAGCTTGCGAAGAATGCCACGCTCGCAGATTGAGTGCTGACTTCTGGGTTGCCAACTCTTGTGAAGGTAGTTCAGGAAATTTGTGCTAAACCATATAGCGAGGCATTTTATGTCTTTAGAAGACATCAGGGCGTTGAGTAGGTTTGACATCTAAAAGTGGCATGTTTTATATACTGAAAGTTACAAAGGTCAGAAATCGAAGATGAATGGGAATTGAGAAACTGAATCCAACAATACTACTTAACAGTGCCCAGGAAAAAGCTGCTTTCCTGTACCAGACTGTGACACAGATCTTTGTTTTCAAGGATTTCTGTGGAGTTGGTCTCCTACAGTTCTATTTTGAAAATCAAAGATCTCTCTCTAATAATTTAGTGGTTACATTCGTGTGTGCTGAAAGCACCTGCTTTATTTGCACTTAGTATGTTGACATTCCTTTGATTCTCCTCAGTGACTAAACTACACGTGTAATCGATGTTAGTGTACTTGGCTTTCTCAAGTCGGAGGCGAGTGCAATAGTTAATAACTACATGTGGAAATGAAAGCACAATCTCTCTTTGTGGAGTTACTTCAGGATGTTTCCATGTCTAATGAATATTGTGTGTCCGTACGTTGTAGAGAGGCTGTGTGTTCATTTGTGAATGGTTGATGAGCAGAACGTCAGACACTTGCTAGAAGAGAACTTGAGGCAGTGATCTTTTTCAGGCGTATCTGGAGAGGCTTTGAGTTTCCTTAGGAGCTTCAAAGGAGAGAGCCAGCAGAGCAGTCATGGACCAAAGTCAGTCCCTTCTGTCTGTGTGGATTAGTAAGAATGCCATTATCCCACAGGAGCGGATTGAAACTTGAGCTACTTGTCAGTGCTTTCTCAAATGCTGAACGCATTTAATTGTAGTGAAGGAGTGTTTGGAAGAACCCCCACACGCCTGTTTGCAGCCTGTCTTTGACAATCAGCACCTCTGGCCTTCAGTGTCTTTCCCACGGGACTCTCAGTAGCTGTGCTGCAGTGCTCCTCAACAAACCAGTGCTCGGTGTTCTCAGAGGGGCACTGCTGAGGATGGCATGCAGACTCCGAGATGCAGCTGGAGATTGTACAGTCTCTAAATATTTTTAGAGACTAACATTTCCGTTGATTACAGGTGCTGTGCTGTGGTTTTCCATCAGTCAGTGCCCCGCTTGGCTCTGGTTTGTAAGTGCTGCACCCCTGGGAAATAGAAGGCCGAATCGTTCCTTTGGAGAATCATCTGTCCTGCCGAGCACCTCCCTGATCTGAGGAGCTCCAGGACAGCTGTTACTAATGGTTCAGTGCGTCCCTCCTGCCTCCTTTTCTTCCTCGTCCTTCCCTTTGTTTCAGTGTTCCAGGTTTTCACGTGTGACCCAACTCAGGATATTAGGGAAGGGAAGGGAGGTGCCAGCAGGGCGCTGCAAAGTTTGAGTTGACAAATGTTGGTGGAGGAGCTGTGTGCAGTCTCTGGTTCCTGTGATAATTCTCTGGGGCTTTTGATGCTGGCAACTCCTTCAAAAAAGGTCTTCTGAACATGTTTTTGTTTTGTTGTGCTTCTGTTTTTTGTTGTTAGCTTTCTGAACTGATCCTTCTCATTTTCCAATTCAGCAGGCAACCTAGATCATATCTGAGACCCTGGGTAAGGGTAAGTCTTTCAGTCGCATAACGTGTAAAGGTTTCTGTGGTCTGTAATATCCTTGATGCTCCTCTTAGTTCACCTGCCACTCTGACATCAACAGTTCTTTTGTAACGGGAGAAAAACCCAGCCTCGTAAAAATTATCTTGAAAACCTTAACAGTTCATTTGAAATTACTTCTCAGTATAGAAACCATCCTGTATTTGATTTGCCTGCTACATTGCTGTGCAGTGGCAGATTAAATTGTACAATGCTGGTTTAGTGCAAGAGAGGAAATGGTTAAACTTATTGAGCTTTAAGGCTGATGTTCAGTAACAACCATTGCCAAATCAGCTCCTGCGGGCCCTTGAGGAAGGGCTGCATCCATGGAGTTTGGCCCATGAGCTCTGGCTGGTTTGGCTGGAGTAGGTTAAGTATTACTGCCCCCATAGGAGGGTTTGTGAGCAGACTGTGTGCAAATGCCTCACAGCTTCAATGCTGGAATTACGGTTTAATTGCAGTGGGAGCTGAATTTAAGGCACTTTGCACAGAAGCAGTGAGAACAGTTTATGTGTTCCCTCCCTGCTGACTTTACTGCAGGGAGATGATGAGTAAAGGACACGACCTTGTCAGCCCACCGCAGCTCCATTGGAGCCCTTAGGCACTCTGACAACAAATCTGGGACAATTTATGGGAGTAAGTACTGAAACTGGTTCGGTTGGAATATAAACAGCGCGATGCAGCGTGCAGCTAAGTTGAGTGCAGGAAGAAATTTCTGGCGGTCTTTTTCTAAGCGAAACCGATACCTGCGCTCACCAGGACCTCAATCTGACATACAAGCTATCTTGTTTCCTAAAGACATTCCACTGAAAGGCATCAGAACAACTAAGTAACCTGTGAATGCCAGCCATGGTTCTGTATGTGATGCACTGTATTTCTGTGTTCTGTTTGCATGGGGAGTGATGGCACTGCGACAGCACTGGTTTGCTTTAACCTGTGCAAGGCCAACGCTATGGAATTGTTCAGTGGTTGGATTTTTATAGCCTTGACCAGCTGCATTACACGGTTTGTAACTGACGAGTCCCACTGTCTGCTGCCTCACCTGTAGGTGTTGAGAAGAATTGAATCTGGCTGTAATTTTGCTCACTAACCTGTGACTCGTGTAACAGATGCATTCTGGCCCTGAGTGCTGTAGCTTGCTGACTGCTTGTTTTAAAGTAATCCTATAAGCAACAGCTTGGGAATCCTTCCGTGTGTGTAGTGGGTAGTTAATGTCAGTAAGATTCTAGTGTGTGTGAAGCACTACAAGGCTGATTTCTGTCCTTGCAAACGAACATCAGGTGGTGTTTTTCCTCCCTAAGACAATCATAGCTGTATTGGACACATGCCACACAATGCATGTTGCACATCTGTCTGCTCCAGCTGTCAGCGAGGTAGGACACGTGCTGCCTGGCACTGCGTGCTCCCTGCAGTCATTCCTAGGTAGGTGCCATAGATGTACATATGTTTTATAAGGACTTGGATATTCTGTTACTATGCTAGTTTTGTATATGTATTTTAATAAGATTTCCTCACACAGTAGGGTGTTACTCCAGAAATAGAGAAAACATGCCAATTTTCCAGCATGCTTTATAAAAAATTGTCCTAGGTTGGTCACTATTAACAAAGTGGGTCACAAAGAGTAGCAGTTTCTTAGGTTATTTCTATCACAGCGTTTAATCCCACGTTGCAGCACTCACTGGGCTCAAACTGTTGGATGGCTTGGATCTATTTTCAGCTGTGCCCAAATTATTTGAGAATATAAGCGATATCTCTGATCTGACAGTCTTAAGTGGAAGTCTGATAGAACAGGTGCTTCTGAGGATCCAATCCTATTACTAACATGAATGTAAAGTGTGGGGCTAATTCGATGTTTGAAGACCATTAATAGTAAGATAATCCTCATAGGTCCGTGTCACTGTGGATCATGGCAGCTGTACTCAGTGTTCATGTAGACTTCAAGAGAATGCTTGGGCAAGCAGCACTCCTGTACTTAACTTCCAGTAAGGTAAAGTAGTGTCTGTGTAGGCTGTTGGAAACACTCCCGCTGTGATGTTCCTCACATACAATGCACTGTATTAGAGTTTATTGTAAGAAGTGAGCTAACAAAAATAAACCTTTTATTTCTCTAGCATTCTGTTGTGCATCGCACCCTGTTACTGGTTTTGAGTTGCTAAACAAGGCGTAACCAACACCTCTAAATCACATCTGTGTCTTTTTTTGTGTGTGCCATGGAACTAAAGTTTCAGTTACTGGTTATTTTTTTAGTGAGAATCAATCCTGTCTTCTTTCAGATTAAGCGAATGCATTCTTTTGCTGCTTAGAAGACTTTATTGGCTAACCGGAGCTGTTTGTGCAGGCAGGGCTCTGTGAAGAAGTGCCTCCGACCTCCCCTTGCTGCGAGGGCTCCACGCTAATCTCTCCTGGCAGCGTAATCCCCCACGTTGCACAGCCCTGGCACCACGCAGCAGCTCAGAGCGCTGCGATAGATGCTCATGTCCTGAGCGTCAAACCACCCGTCGGCTTTTTCGTCGTAACACTCAACGTTGTACGTCGTGGCGTATCCGTTAAAGCCACCGACCACAAACAAGAGGTCGTCCACCACTTCAATGCCGAAGTTGCTGCGAGGATTGAACATGGTGGGGACAACGCGCCACGTGTTGGCAGCTGGGCTGTAGGCTTCCGCAGTGCGGAGCCGGTTGACTCCGTCGAATCCTCCTACCTGTGAATGCCAAAGGCACAGCGCTGAAAGAGGCCTTTCCCCCTTGGGAGGCAGCTGAATGGTGCTGTGCACGTGTCAGATTTTAACTTGGCCTACTCTGCTATGTGAGTTGGAGCGCCGCTCAACTGACAAAATGCAATGCTTGCTTATGGCAGACTGCTCCCTTGTTCGTTCTGGAGCATCCAAAAGTATTTTGGTCATTACATTTACACTGAACTTACAGGCAGTATGTGGATAGGCAGGACCAAGCAGCACTGTGCTGCTAAACGCTTTTATCAGCAACAGAATCATTTCTTTGCTGCAACTCTTTACGTGTTTTGTACTTATTTCATAATGTAGAATGTGAGGGTGACAGTATTCTACAGGGGATTTCAGCCATTCTTGCCTTTCCTCCCGAAATCTCACTTAGAAGTGAATGGCCAGCGCGAAAATTAGTCTAGGAAATGCAGATTAACAGAACTTAATTGCATTAAAGAAACAAACAGCAGCAGCAGTGTGGGTTCATTATGGCCGAGCTGCCACTTCATCCTTACCGCATACACTTGGCTTCCATATGCAATCACACCTACTCCACTTCTTCTGCTTCTCATTGGGGATATCAAGGTCCACTGATCTGTTCCAGCATCGTACACTTCAGCTGTGGAGAGGCACTCGTTCCCATTGAACCCACCACATATATACACCTGTGCACAGGAGGAAAAAGAAGCAGGCTGGCTGTTGGTGGGAGAATGTGCTGAGGATAAAATGGCCTGGCTGGAGGGGTTTTCTGCTTTAAGGGGATACTGCTGTCATCCTGGGTTGAAAGTGAAGGGAGTTACTCGGAAGTGGGATTTTGACCCTCCATTTCCTGAGCTGCATGAAGCACACCAGCACGGTATTCCAGCAGGAAGCTGCTGTTGGTGGCAAGAGGTTTTAAGAGAGTTCTGCTGTCTGCGCCAGTAAGTTTCACCTCTTAGCTTTCTGTCTGTATTCCAGGATCTGATGAGTAAGGTTTACACAAACCTTCTTCCTCTATTTGGAAAGATTGATGGAAAGGAGCATTTGCTGTGCGTCTGGCTCCTCTTTCCCATCTAGATGAGGAGCCCTGGGCGGTAGCTGCGTTTATCCAGGACGGAGCTCAGTGGGAGGCTGAGCTCTATGAAACTGCCCCAACACGCCCTATGGTTCGTTCCCTGCCCTGCACACCGAGCTTTGACCTCAACTGCAGCCGCAGATCTCCCAGGCCTTTTACCTTGTCATACAGCGTGGTCGCACCGGCGTCGCTCCTCTGCTCGTGCATGGGAGCAATCAGCGTCCACTGGTTTGTCTCCGGCTCGTAGCGCTCGGCTGTGTTGAGCCGCGTGTAGCCGTCGAACCCCCCCATGGCGTAGATGAAGTCGTTGAGAACAGCGACGCTGACGTAGCAGCGCCGGGAGTGCATGGGAGCGACCTGCTGCCACGTCTTCTTCACCGGGTCGAACCGCTTGACGCTGTTGAAGTAATCCACGCTGTCAAATCCTCCGATAATGTAGACAAAGCCTTTCAGAAACGCAGCGCCATGGTAGGCCCGGGGGCTCTCCTCGTGGCACGTAACGTTCACCCACTTGTCCGCGCGGGTGTCGTACGTCTCGATGGCGTTGGTCGGGCTGCCCCCGCTCCAGCCCCCGATAGCAAACAGGATGGAGTAGGGCAGGCGGGGCCTGGCCAGGGGACTGACGCAGTTGGGGAGAAACGCGTTGCTCGTGCTGAGGTTGTACATGGCCGTCAGAGTGCTGATGATGATGGGTTTGCACTCGCTGTTGTCCTTCACGTAATCGTGTGTTTTGACTTTGTTCATGAAGTGGTCTGTCTCCATCAGTGCCAGCCGGACCTGAAAAGTAAAAGGTTATTGTTGGTGCTTTGTATTTTGTTACCTTTTGTGGACGGGTCTGACACTGGATGGCTTGGATTTTGGGCTAGAGTATTCTCTAAGGCTTATGAGAGAAGTGGAGAATTAAGTAGTTTTTCACCCCATGTGAGCTGGGCTCTTCCTTACACCCAGGGGTGATTACACATAAGCTCTAAGTGCGAAGAAACAACGCACTTAAACTGCACGCCCTGAGAGCAGCTCGCAGCAGCACGGACACACAGTGAGCAGCGCCACGAGGCGGCGGCGTTGAGGACGGAGCAGTGGCAGAGCTGTGCAGAGCTCCTGGAGCCCAATGGACCGACCTTGCTGAGCAGGATGGGGATGTGCTGCCTCCTTTGCCAGGGATCGTGGGTGATCCATTTCAGGATGGCGTCGAACACCACTTCCTCCTGCTTCACGTTCAGCTCATCCTTCTCAATTATGTCTGTCAGCTCGTCAATGGAGAGGTCTAGGAACTCCGTGGACACCTTGATCAGCTCCTCGAAGTTGTGGAGGATGAACATGTAGGCCGTCTGCCGCAGGCCGGGGCAGTGGTAATGGTTTGTGAGCCGGCAGATGCCGATACAGTTTTCCAAGCACAGCTGTGATTTCAGGAACTCGCAGCACAGCCTGATGATGCCCATGATGTTGAACTGATCTGCCGTGCCCAGCAAACTTTCCACATTTTCAGCAGTGATCGATACTGTCCTGGTGTAGGCATACTCGATAACGAGTTTCATCATTTCGGGGGAAACGCCGGGGATTTTGTACACCATCTTCTCTGTGTTGTTCCAGCCACTGGTAAACAAAGCCCTGACCAAGAGAAAAAAAAAAAAAGGCAAAGCAATGCTGGAGGAAGAAATGGCTTTTCTGTGTTAAATCCCCACCCTGCTATGCCATACACCTTCCTCCCTGCACCACATTCGGGCTGTAGCACCGGAGGCACCACAGGACGACCGGGCAATGTCGCCTGCCCCTATTCCCACTATAGAGCATCCCAACCCCGACCTGAAGTAATGACTGCAGCTGCAGAGGATGTTCTTGTGCGCGTTGAACTGACAGCCGTTCACTTCGATGATCACATCGCAGAGCTTCCCCTCCAGGCGGAGCTCATTGAACACCTCGCAGGCCATCGCGCTCATCTTCCTCTCCATCAGTGAGGCGGAGCAGCCGCTGTGCGCCGCGCTGCCGTCCATGTCGGAGCCCGGGCCGGCGGGAGGAGTGCGCGGGGGCCGCTTTCGCCTCGTCCTCCTACATCTTCTCCGGAACTTCCGAGGGGGTCTGGAATCGGCCCCCCAGTGAGGTCACACTGGTGGCGCTGGGCGTGCTCCCGGCTCTTCATGGCTGCCCGGCGATCTCCACCCTGCGCGCACCAGCGCTGCAAGAAACCACCGCGAACTTCTCCCGAACTGTGCTTTGGTTTGGGGAGCTGTCAGTGATGCTCGGGGCCACCGCTGCGGCTCTGCAGGCGGGTGCCGCTCGTGGCTACCATTTATGCCGGCACGGCGCTCGCACGGCTCCCACGGGAGCGGGACGTCGGACGAACGAACACCGGCACGCAGCGCGGTGAGCGAGCAGCGCGGGTTCAGAGCCTTTCGGCGCCCTTCGGAGGCTTTCGGAACCTTTCGGCGCCCTTCGGAGGCTTTCGGAGCATTTCGGCGCCTTTCGGAGCCCTCGGGCTGCTCGCGTCTCCACGCGGCGGTGCCCGTGAGCGCGGCGCGGTGCCGGGTGGGCGCTGCCCCGCTGCCGGTGGTCGCTTTGTTCCGTTCAGCAGCGCCGTGGCGGTGCTGGGTTGGGGCAGTGGCTGCCATCGGCTCCCGCCACGTCGTTGTGCTTTTTTTTTTTTTTAATCTTTCGCTTTCCGCCTCCACAGCGGGCAGAGAAAGAAACGCAACCGCGGGGCCTCCCCGGAACGAGGAGGCGCTGCGCCGGGCGGAGACCGAACAGCCACGCTGCTCCGCCCCGCGGCTGGGCAGCACCGGCGCGGCACGGCACGATGGTGAGCGGGGCGCTGCGCTGCGGGCGGGGGAGATGAGCGCGGCGGAGCTGCGGGGGTCCGAAACAGCGCTGTGCCCGCAGGTGCCGGAACTGCAGAAAACCACGGTCCGCATCCAGCAGCCGGAGCGCGTCATGGGGCTGATCCGCGCCATCAAGGAGCAGGGCAGCAGCAAACTGCAGGTACGGCCCGCGCGGCTCCGCGTGCGCTGTGCTCTGCTCCGCTGTGCTGTGCTCTGCAACGGGAGCAGGGGGACGACCGAGAGCCAGGCGGTTTTCATGGCCTCCTGCTTCTCTCTTCTGCAAGCTGTAAACATTAACCGGTCTCCAAACATCGCCCTGCGCACAGAGCATGAGCCGGCAGGGATGGGCCCTGTGGTGCTGATAAGGCTGCTGGGGTGGGGGTGGAAGGTGCCTGGTCCCAGCTGGGTGCGTTGTGCCCCGTTGGGTGCCTGCCTGCCGGCTGCTCACTGCAACCCTGCAGACTGTGTGGGATGCACCCATGTGGAGTTTGCGCCCAGCAGAGCGCTGGGTCACCACAGGTCATCTTTCTCTCACCCTTCAGGTCATCTCTGACTTCGACATGACGCTGAGCAGGTTTGGGTGCAATGGCCGGCGCTGCCCAACGTCACACAGTGAGTTTCAGCCCTGCTTTTGCTCTGTGGCCCTTCCTCCTGCTTGCCGTGTCTGTTCTCTGGTGCAACCCTCTCCTCCCAGCAGCCCAGAGCCCGTGGCAGGAGGCAACCCCTGGTGTCTGTACTCCAGCTTTGCCACCAAGACTCTCAGATGCTCCTTGTCTGCCTCAATCCAGCACCCTGAAGCTCACAGCCTTTCTGTATGGGCTGTAACATTGGCATTTTGTTGTCTTCGCAGATATCCTCGACAACAGCCATGTCATCAGTGAGGATGGCAAGAAGAAGGTGGGTGCTGCTTTGTGAAGCTGTGCATTGCTGCCAGCCATCGCCATGGGCTGTGCAACGAGGTCAGAGGGCAAAAGCCCTGCGGTGCTGCGGGGGCAGAGAGCAGAGCGAGGTTCCAGGCTGCATTTCAGCCAGTGGGAAAGTTAAAAAGAGGAAACTAATTTGCATGCGTAGCTGCAGGCAATTTGTGCTCTGATAAGAGCAGGAAGGAGGTTTGTGTGCCCATCTGCTGAGAGCCCCAGGGATCCCTGCGTTGGCTCAGAGTGAAGTCGCTCGGTTGTTTTGGTTGTGCTTTTGTTATGGACTGTGATGCTTTGGGGGAGTTCAGAAATACTGATTTTGCTGTTTACAGTCTCTGTAGGATCAGTGTTCAATCCGAATTCTTCTTTCTTTCTTATAACATTCCAGTTAAAAGATCTGCTGCATCACTACTACCCCATCGAAATCGATCCCAACCGCAGCCTGGAAGAGAAACGTCCCCTGATGGTGGAGTGGTGAGTGCTGTGGTGGTGCGCCCTGACCCCTGGTGAGCATTAGGGGGGATGGGAGGAAGCGCCCCTGGGCCCGGCCCAAGCGTGGAGAACCCTTTGCAGGGTCCCTTTTAACGCAGGCTGTTCCCATTTCTCACGTGCGTGGCCCAGACACTCAGTGTGGTGCTTTGGACCATGGCTGGTGAGCACAGCTGAGGAATAGTTCTGAGTCACTGCAAACCAAAAGCAAAAACCACAGATCACATCAGCACCCCTGGCCTCCTCCTGGCAGCTGGGATGGCAATGTGAAGGCTTCAGCTCCTGTAGGAAGTGCCTGGCTGCTGTTCTTCTGATGGCCTGGAATGTGATGCTCACCTCGCTGCCTTTCTCTAGGTGGACCCGGGCCCACGAGCTGCTGTCGCAGCAGAAGATCCAAAAGGGAGACATTGCCCAGATTGTCAGGGAGTCGGATGTGATGCTGAGGTACACCCAAGGCCTTCCTCTCCTATCACCCCATTGCTGCCCATGTCTCCGGGGCCTGAAGGCAGGCAGGGGGGTGCTGAGCTGGTGTCTGCTAGCTCTGCTCACCTTCTCTGATCTGCACACAGCCTCACAGTGCAGCAGATACAAATCTCCCTTCCTTCCTGGGGTTTGGGTTTAACCACCGCAGAGCTCCTCCTGCTCTGGAGCCGTGCCCACCCCTGGTCTTGGTGGGGAGAAGGTCCCCGAGCAACTCTGAGCCTTTGTGGTTGGCAGGATGAGGGGTGCAGGCACTAAAATATGGCACCAAAAGCTGCTGTGAAAGCTGCAGCCAGGTGCTGTGCTTTGAGTAACTGCTGTTATTTCTGCTTGGGAAGTCCAAGGCAGAAACTTGAGCTTTGTCACTGAGAGCAGTCACAGCCCACGCTGCCCAGAGCTGGGGGAGGGAAACGTGACACTGCACGACAACTTCTGTCCTAGGGATGGATTCAATGAGTTGTTTGATCAGCTGCATAAGTACAACGTCCCCATGTTCATCTTCTCTGCTGGCGTTGGTGACATCCTCGAGGAGATTATACGTCAGGCCAACGTCTTCTACCCCAATGTCAACGTGGTGTCCAACTACATGGACTTCGATGACAGTGTGAGTGTGCAGGGAGCCCGCGGGGGGGGGTGGTTGTGTTGGTGCTGTGGGCTGCAGAACCATTGCAGTACATCAGTGCTGGGGTTTGGGAAGTGCGCAGTGTTGGCCCTGGGAGGATCCTGCAGGCAGAAAGCAGCAGCAGCCCAGCGTCTGCTCTCTGTCCTGTGAGCACCTCACCCTTCAGACTGACTTTTGGAAGCCAGAAATGGGTTCTGTCTGCCGAGGTTTGGTGCTGGTCCATGCCCAGCCCAGGCATGTGGTCGGGGTGGAGTTAACAGAAGCCTAAAAGGTCCCAGTTCTCTTTAGCACATGGCATGCTGTGCACAGTGATGCTCTCCGTTCCCACAGGGGGGTGCTGGGGCAGACAGTCCTCAGGATTTGACTCCTGACTCCTGCAAGGGCTGCGCGGTGCCCTGGGGCTCCTTGGACTTTGGCTTTCCGTGGCCCTTGAGCAGAAATCTCCCAGATGCTTTGGGGCTGTTCTCACCCTACGGTCTGGGTTTGCCCTGACAAAAGCAGACCTTTGGGGACGGTCTGCATGCATTTTGGGGCTCCCGGGCGGTGCTAACAGTGATGAGAGCTGCTGTTGTGTTGCCCCTCACCTCTCCCCCCTTCTGAGGGGTGCTGAGGCTGCAGGACAATGTAGGGATTGCTTTAGGATCAGTTCACCTGTCCCATTTGCACAGGGAGTCCTCAAGTGCTTCAAGAGCCCTCTAATCCACACCTACAACAAGAACAACAGTGTGCTGCAGGGCACTCCCTACTTCCAGCAGCTGAGCACACGGACGAGCATTATCCTTCTGGGGGACTCCATGGGCGACCTGACGATGGCAGATGGCGTTCCCAGTGTGGAGAACATCCTCAAGATCGGCTTCCTCAACGACAAGGTGTGTGGGGAGCAGCATTCCTGCTGCCTTCCAGCCCTTCCCAGGGCTGAGTGCCTGCTGCTGGGCTCTAGGTTTGCATAAAGGCCCTCGGAGCCGCCTTTGGGCACGGCCAGCTGGTTTTGTCCCCTCTTTTCTGTAGCATCAAGAGATGCAGGGCTGTGGGTACGGCGCCTTCATTCTCAGCTGTTCACAGTTCTCTGCGCTCCTCGCTGCAGGTGGAGGAGCGGCGGGGGAAATACCTGGATGCCTATGATATCGTGCTGGAGAGCGACGAGACGTTGGATGTGGTGAATGGGATTCTGCGGTACGTCCTCATGGAGACGTGAGCCGGGCAGCAGCGCCCCAACCCGGCCCGTCAGCCGCGTGCTGGGGATGAGCGCCCTTAGCAAAGCTGGACGGGCGTCCCGGTACCTGCCTGAATCCACCCCCATGCCGGGGCTCCCCCTGCCCCAGCTGTTGTGTCCCAAACCTCACGGCTCTTCTGGTCAGTTTGGAGCTGAAGGGCTGATCGGGAGGAAGCGAGGAGCCTGCCCTGCACTCTGCATCCTCCTCAGCCTCCAGCAGCACCGGGGCCACAGCAAACATTTGTGTTCTGGGGAGGGATGTTCTGTGCTTCTGTCCAGCAGCTGAGCACAGAAGCAGGGACTGTTGGCTGTGGCTTGAGGGCAGGCTGGTTTGAGTTGAAGCTGTTTGGTTTTACTGCATTCCTGTCTAAGGAAATGAGCACTGCTGCTCCTATCGTGTTTTCTGTGGCCCCAAGGTGTGCAGGCTGAGCCCCAGCTGTGGGGACGGAGCAGGGTGGGGTGGTCCTGCAGCCCCGGGAGGTGGGTGCTGGGGATGGTGGGCAGCTCTGCTGGGTTCCCCTGGGCTCTGACCTCAGCCCTCACCCTGCAGCTCGCTCACCACCCTCCACACCATGGGCTGCTAAATGTCACTTCTGGGCAGTGCAGATCTCTGCTTCTTTGCAATAAAATCATTGACGAAAGCTGCAGTGTGTGTGCATTGCACCGAGAGCACAGTGCCCCAGGCAAAGTGTCCTCCCCATCCCTGCCCCATCCCTGCCCCCACCCCTCTGCAGGGCTCCTGGGAGCGGAGCTCTTTTCCTTTTTCTCCTGCCCAACACAGTGGATGCCATGGTCTGAAGTCCACCTCTGCTCCACAGACCCAGGTGAGTTCTCCTCACGCCGTGGGGACAGACAGGAATGAATCTTCCATTGCGAAGTAACTGACACAAAGGGAAACGTCTTGGAAACCACTTGAAATTGTTTATTTGGTGCCACTTAGAAGTCGTTGTTTGAGGGTCTTGCTCTGGCCCTTTGCACAGTTCTGCTCCTGCATTTTTTCTCTTTGCGAGGTCACACTGTGCGAAAGCTTCCAGAGCTGCTGGGAAGGTGGAGGGGATGTGCTGGGCACAAACCTGAGAGCACCGAGTTAATGGCTTGCATTTTGGCATCGGAACCAACCAGGGCTGATTTCTGGCACCTCCCAGCAGCCGTTGCTGTGAGGAGGATGAGGAGGGTCGGCCTGCCGCTCCCGGCGCCAGCTCTGGTCCCAGCCGTGCAGCTCTGCAGCAGCCGAGGGGCTCTGAGCCGCCTCCAACCTCTGCTCCTGGGAACTGCAGCAGGCAGCAGCAGGGATGGCCGCTCCGTTTCTCCTTTAAAGAACTTTACATGCGCGTGTTTAAAACTAACCCACGATGAACAAAAAATCCCTAAACTACAGTAATACTGCAAAGGAGGAGCGGGGAGCTCCCCTGTCCCTGCGTGGGGCCCGGCAGGCCGTGCAGTCGTTGGCTGAGGACGAAGGAGCAGAGATGTCGGGGTTGGGCTCGGGGCTGAGCTCGGCACACGGAGAGGTGGGAGGGCAGGGAGGACCCTGGGGGGGGGGGGGGGGAGCGGGCCCTGCTGGTTTGCTGGGATCGATGGGTGCAGTACGGAGGGGGGGGGGGGGGAATGCGCCGACCCGACCCACTGCGGGCACCCGGAGCCGCTTCCCACCTTCCTGCCTGAGCGCATTGACTGCGGACTGCGGAGCTGCGCCCGTGAGGAACGACAGAAAAAAACCGCAGTTAAATAAAAGGGGGGAAAAAATCATCAGAAAACGGCTCCCGGTCCGGCGAGGGGCAGCGCCAGGCGTGGGCACGGCGGTGCTGCGTCTCACAGCTCCTCGTGGACCTTCTCTCGGTCCTCATCCGACTTCAGCTTCAGCTCCTCGGCCGTGATGCGCCCGTCCTGGTTGCGGTCCTGGTTCCCAAACATGTCGGCGATGACTTTCTCGGGGTCGGAGCCGGGCATGAGGCGTCCCTTCCCCTCCGCCACCTGGGTCTTGATGAAGGTGGAGAACTGCAGCGGGGACAGAGGATGGGGTGGGTGGGACACAGCGCTGCGCCGCGCGCACAGTGACGGCAGACCCGGGGCCATCCACGATGTCCCCATCGCAGCCCCGTTGTTCCCAGCCGTGATTTCTGCGTCAGAGCATTCCTCCCGCCCGACCTCAGCCCTTCCCCAGCGCCCGGGGCCAGCAGTGTCCTTCGGGTGCTGCTCCCTGGCTGGGTCCCTGTGCTCTCCGTGTCCCCCCCCACCCACAAACCCGTGCTGCGGGCACCTCCTCAGCGGGGATCTGCCCATCCTTGTTGAGGTCCATCTGCTCAAAGAGGTTCTCAGGAGGGTCCCCGTGCCAAATGAAGAGGTATCCTTCGGGAACCCCCTCCTCCAGGGAGATCAGCTCCACCTCGAAGCGGAGCACTGCGCTGCCAGGCACTCCCCGGGCTGAAAAGCAAGCGAGGGCTGCTGGGGAGCTCAGAAAGGCTCTGTGCGGAGGTGAGAGCTTCCCCAGCAAGGTGCAGGAGCTCCACGGGGTTCCAGAAAGCCCTGAGCACAAGCTGTAGGCACCGCTGTGCCATCCCTACCTCCGTTCTCGCCGTGACCCAGGTGTGGGGGGACGATGAGCACCCGCCTCTCCCCCACACACATGCCCAGGAGGCCGCTGTTGAGACCCTCAATCACCTTGTTGGCCCCCAGGGTCACCTCCTGGGGCTTCTCATAGTCGTGGCTGCAGGGGCGCAAAGAGAACGGCGCGACTGAGGAAACTCCCCGGTCCCGTCAGGCTGCAGCCCACACCTCGGCCCCGCAGAGCCCAGAGCCCACAGACCCCGCGCCCTCCAGCCCAGCGCCGCCAGCCCACGCACGAGGAGAAGAGCCGCGTGCCGTCCAGCAGGGAGCAGTTGTAGTGGTAGCGGATGAAGTCCCTGTCGCGGGCGGTGACGTTGCAGCCCTCGGGTCGGTGCACGGCCTCAATCTCCACCGGGTCGGCCGGGTTGTGGAAGTCGATGATGTGGACATCAAAGATGAGCACAGCGGAGCCGGGAATTTTGTTCCCTGGAAGAGGAGCAGGAAGAGCTGAGCAGGAAGCACACAGAGCCGGTAAAGCCCTTCTTGCTGCTGCCACAGCTCGCAGCACCAGGCCCTGCAGCTCCACTCCTTTCTGCCCCAGCCCACCCAACTCCCCCCCGCCTGCCCGCAGAGCTCCCCATCGGAGCTCCCAACCAACGCCTCCCCACCCTGCGCTCCCCCTGGCCACGCAGATCCCCTGCAGCCCCTTACCCACTCCGTTCTCGCCATAGGCCAGGTGTGGGGGGACCACCACCCGCCTGCGCTCGCCGATGCAGACGCCCTGCAGGCCCTGGTCCATGCCAGGGATGATGTAGCCCTTCCCAATGTAGGTGTTGTAGGTTTGGTTGCGGGAGTAGCTGCAGCAAGAGAAGCGCAGGGTGCTGTCAGGTAACAGAACTGCTCCGTGCGCTCATCCCCCACTGCACCAAACCTCCTCCAGGGATGCAGCAGGTAGGTAAAATCCTTTTTGGCCCATTTCTTACTTCTCACTGCCCTCCGCTCCCAATTCCCCCTGGATACCCCAACCTCTCCTTGCAGCCCTCTGCTGGCAATAGGGTGAATGTGAGCATCCCCCCCACACCTGGAGTCAAACAGCGTCCCGTCCATCAGCGTGCCATTGTAGTGGTAGCGCACGAAGTCTCCGGTCACAGCCCTGCGCCTGCAGGACGCCGGCACCTCCAGGTGCTCCAGGGAGACGCCGTCCTTGGGGTTGTGGAAGTCCACCAGCAGCACGCTGAACACCAGCGAGGCCTGTGGTGGGATCACGGTCCCTGTGGAGGGGATGGGTCAGCCCACACGGGGGTCCCTCTACCCAGGCAGGGGCAGTGGGCGATGCCCAACTCACCGTAGCCCTTCTCCCCATAGGCCAGGAATGGTGGGATGATGATGCTCCTCTTCTCCCCGGCGCACATGCCCAGCAGGCCCTGGTCCATGCCCTTGATCAGCCAGCCAGTGCCCACATACGTATCGTAGGTGCTGTCTTTGCTGTAGCTGATGTGGAGGAATGAGGAGAATGGCTCTGGGGCTGTGCCAGCCCCCCCGCCCGGCAGTGGGCTCCCAAAGCCACCCCCAGGCCCCCCTGCCCATCACCCGCTGTGGTGAGCGCTGTCCCCACACCTGGAGTCGAAGGGGGTTCCATCCAGCAGAGTGCCGTTGTAGTGATACCGCACAAAGTCTGAGTTCTCCACCGTGCGGTTGCAGCGCTCAGGTTTGGCCAGGGTGGTGATCTGCAGTTTGTCATCCTTGTTCCAGATGTCCAGCATCACCACGTCAAAGTACAACGTGGCGTCAGGGGGGATCAGCCCCGCTACAGCAGCAGCAATGAGGACAGAGCGCAGAACAGGGTGAGGAGCGACCAGTGCAAAGAACACAGAGCTCTGCAGCGCATGCGGCACCACTGGATGGGGCAGGGAGGGTCCTTGCTCACTACAGCCCATCCCACAGCTTCTGCCTGGAGCGCCGGATGGGGACCTGACCTGTGCAGGTCTGAGGCCAAGCCCTGCCTGTGGTGTCTGTGGAAGGGACTGCTGGGATTTGGGGGGCCCCGAACACCCCGTAAGATTTTCTTTGCAGAGGAATCAGATGTGAGCCCTCCGTGCCCACCATGGAAAGTGACACAGCGTGTGCAGTGTGTCTGCAAAGCCCTGTGCAGACCCTACCTGTGTTTGCTGTTCAGTGTCCCAGCACAGATCCATCCGTCCCCAGCTCTCCTGTCTGGGCGCCCATCGCCCGTCCCCCCCACCGCGTGCTTTGAGGACCCCCGGCCCCGCAGCCCTTACCCACGCCGATGCTGCCATAGCCCAGGTGTGGTGGCACAATGAGGTGCCGCCGCTCGTTGACGCACATGCCCTGCAGCCCGCGGTCCATGCCGGTGATCAGCCGCCCCACGCCCACCACGCCGGCCACTGTGGCCCCTCGATCATAGCTGTGAAAGGACAGAGCCGTCAGCACCGCGTAGCACAGGAGGGCTGCGGGGTACCCCGGTTTCTGAGCAGCACCCATCTCCCCCTGAGCATCTATGCGGAGTTTCCGGCCTTGCAAGTAAGCTTTGTTCAACAGAAAAGCACAGCAGGGCTGCTTGGGGGTTGCACGGCCACGGAGCAGCCGCCTCTCCTCTGTTCTGCTCTCTTGCAGAGCTGCAGCTCACAAGCAGTGAGGCTTGTGAACCTCCAGCCCTGCTTTGAGGTTTTGCCTGGACTGGGGCTCCTGCCACAGGCACAGCCCCCCGCTCAGCCCTGCAGCCCTCAGTGCGGGGCTGAAGCTTCACTGCCTGGGGGGAGACACCCCGAGTTCGGGCATCCAGGGGCGGAGGGCCGGGAGCTGCTTGCAGATGCTCCCCACACCCGGCACAGCAGTGCAGCACGCAGGGCTTCCTGCTGCCTCCTGGCAATTCTAAAAGACCACATTTACAGGGAGGAGGAAAGAAGGCAGCCCAGGCCTCATTTGTGGACTGCACATCTCTCTTTATTTTTAAATCTTTAAACTACAGGCTCTAAGAAGCAACTGGGGGCCATTTTGGGTAAATGGAAATCCTTCATCCCCTGTAATGTGCAGTGAATGCTTCTCCTGGAAGCGTGCTGCCGTCCTCGGGACAAAGAGTTATTTCAGCAGCAATATTTTAGCAGCTCCCATCGCTTTGGGGCTCACAGCAGCAGCAGGGGCAGCGCGTGCTCCCTTCACTTTCTCTCCCATCCGTTTTTTTGTGAGAAAAGTACGACTGGATCGCGATAGGGATCCCATTGCTTTTCAGGGGCTGGAAGTTTTTGTTCCCGTGTTTTGTCGAGCCCCCACCGCTGCCCCCATCCCTCTCACATCGGTGCCCACGGCGCACTGCCCCACAGACCCCCGGGGCGCAGCGCGCGGCCGAGGACCGCCTCGGAGCGGCTGCTGCTGCCACGTCTCAGCGCCGCTGCCCGCATTCCTCCCGCAGCGCACGCACGGACACGTCCTGAGCGCAGCGCGGCTCTGCGGCCCCCCCCGCCCACTGCTCCCCCCGGACCGGTTCCCCCCGGATCGCTGCGAGCCCGCGCACAGCGCAGCACGGGGAGGAGGGACGGGGGGCACCGCCGTCAGTCGGGGCCGTGAGGGGCGGGCGGGGTGTCCATGGGGAAGGGGGGGGAGGGGGACCGGGAAGGGCGGGGGGGCGGGGGAAAACCCCGTGGGGCCGCGTGAAGCGGGAGCGGGCCGAGGGCTGTACCTGGAGTCAAACTTTTTGCCATCTTTAAAGGTCCCATTGTAGTGGTAGCGGATGAAGTCCCCCATCTGGGCCTCCCGCAGGCAGACTTTGGGGATGTAGTAGCGCTCTATCACCACGTCCTCCAGCGGGCCGGGGTCGCTCAGCCCCAGTGCCCCCAGGAGGCTCAGCAGGAGCGCGGCGCTGCCCGCAGCCATGGCTCGGAGCGGCGGTGGGGGGAGGCGGGAGCTGAGCCCCCCCGGCCCGGCCCCGCCGCGCTTCTGTACACGTGGAACGGGCCCGGCCCCCCCAGCCCCCGCCCCAGGCCCGGGGCGGTGATTCCCTGCCATGGGCCGGGCGGAGAGAAGCGGCGCAGCGGAACTCCGCGATGGAACTTTTAAAAAAACCGTTCTCTTCGTTGCGGGCGGTTCTTTGTGCGAAGGGAGCGGCTTTGTGCAGCGCCGGGTCCTAGCGCTGCCTGCGACCCGGTTTGCTCAGGCTCTGGCGTTTGGGAAGAGTAAATACGAGTAATTAACGTAATTAACGCCCGTACGGATAACCCTGGCCGCTCCTCGGTCCGCTGCTCTTACTGAACGGCAGCGATCAAAACCCCTGCAACCGCCCCTGTAACAGACCGTCACGGATCGGAGCAGCACACAGCGCGCACCTACGCGTGCCCCTCACCCCCTCACACCATTCGGGGCCGCGGGGGGAGCCCTCTGCCCGTTCCGCCCGCACGGACGTGGGCTGGGCCGTGGCCAGCGCGGCCGTGCCTGGCTCTGCGAGCTCAGCCGCAGCCCTCGGCTCTGCGCTCTGGGCGCTGCGCTCTGGGCTCTGGCACAGCGCAAGGATCCGCCTCCGGCTGACCATGGCCAGCGGCGAAACCAGCGCTGAACGCTGCCGGGCGGAGGGGGCGGGGGAAGAAGCAGCGCAGCGCCGAGCGCGCAGCGCAGCGCAGAGCACTCGAGGGATCCCCCGACACCGCAACTCCGAGCGCATCCGGGCCGGTCAGCATCACTCAGTGCCAACTCCGCCCTGCGCGCAACGCACAGAGCCGCACTAAGACCCTGCGCTCCCGACGCGCACCGCCCCTTCCTCCCCACTCCGCCCTCGCTCTCCTCTTGCGCGGAGCGCTGCGCGGCGCTGCGCGGGCAGTGCGCGGCGGCGGCGGGGATGGGCTGCGCGGCGCTGGCGCTGCCGCTTCTGCTGTTGGCAGCGGGGCCGTGCGCGGCGCAGTACGAGCAATACAGCGTGCGCGGATTCCCCGCGGCCGCGCTGGAGCCGCTGCAGCGCGCCTACACACGGGCGCTGGCGCAGTACGCGAGCGCGCAGTGGGCGGAGAGCGCGCGGGCTCTGGAGGCCAGTTTGCGGCTGCACCGCCTGCTGCGAGACAGCGAGGCGCACTGCCACCGCCGCTGCGCCGAGGGGGGATCCGCGGAGGAGCCCCCCGCCGAAGGGGACCGCGCGGAGTGGGAGTGGGAGCGGGAGCTGCAGCTTTTCGGGCGGCTGCTGCGCCGCGCAGGCTGCCTGCGTGCCTGTAAGCGCGGCCTGCCCGTCTTCCAGCTGCGCTACCCGCCCGCGCAGACGCTGCGCGATTTCCAGCGCCGGCTGCCCTACCAGTACCTGCATTACGCGCTATTCAAGGTGAGACCGCGCAACGCCGGGAGTGACGGGGATGGGGACTGAGGGGCTGCCCTGACCTGGGGGTGTGGGCTTCCCCCATCGTGCACCCCACATCTTCTGTACCCCTGTCTGACTTCCTCTGCTCTACACTCCTCCATTTGCCCCCCTCACCCCGTGCCCCCCACCCTGTACCTCCCCATTGCCACCCCCATACCGTGTCCCCCCATCCCACATCTCCATTCCACACCTCCACTCTGCACCCCCGGATCTTTCTCCCATCCCTCCCACATCTCTCTGCCATGTGCCCTCCTGCTCCCCCCATCTTGCACCCCCTTCCCCCCCATCTCCTCCATCCTGCCCTGGCACCGCTGCACGTCAGCAGCAGGATATGAGGAGCGTGCCCGGGATGGGGCCCCCATGGCTGCCCTTTCCAGCCCCGTGTGCCCTGGTCTCCCCCCTCCCACAACCCCTGCTTGGGGGTTCCCTGAGTCTCCCCGTGTCCCCCGACCCTCTGTGGTCACAGACATCCCCCAGCACAGCTCTGTGGGTGCCCCTGGTCCACATGGAGAAGTTTTCCAGGGACAGATGGAATTTCTCCAGCTCTGCTGTGCCTACATTCTGCCTCTGCTTCAATACTGCTGTCCCCAAGGCCCCGCGGGTGTGTGGAACGTTGCCCGAGGAGGGGGACACAGGGCTGTCCCAGCCGATGGAGCGTGGCTTGGGTGGGCGGGTGCAGCACCACTGCTGCTTTGCTCCTCGGTGCTGTGGCCCCATTCACCCTGCAGCGACGAGGAATGGCCTGACCTGGATACTTAATGCATTTTCCTCTCGGTTGCTCTGGCTAAAATCCATTTAAGGGATGGTTCATCCAGCCCCTCCAGCTTTGCTTCTCGGAAGTTGCAACCTGAGAGCTCATAGAAGCAGCAGCAGAGTGGGGGCAACTGCCGAGCTGGCAGTGGGGCTGGAGGAGAGTCTGACAAACCCATGCCACGTGGGTCACTGCCAGAGGGGCTGCGCTGTCCGTGCTGCCACCGTGGGCTCGGGGAGAGCTTTGTGTGCCTCAGCGCACGCCGCTCCATCAGCAGGACGCCCCCCCCCGCCCGCACGCTGCCCATCCTTCGTTGCCAGTGAGTGGTGGGCGTTGGGGCTGCCCGTCCCGAGGATCGCCTGCTGCCCTGGGACGCATCCCAGCGTCGCCCCTGCGGCCCCACGCACCGCCCCCCTCTCTCCGCAGTCCAATAAGATCGAGAAGGCGGTGTCGGCTGCTCACACCTTCCTGCAGAAGAACCCCAAGCACGAGATGACCCTGAAGTACCTGAACTACTACAGGACGATGGTGGACGTGGACGAATACCTCGTGGACCTGGAGGCTCAGCCCTATGAGGTAAGGAGGGGATGGGCTTGGGTGGGAGAAGAGAAGGAAGAGGAGCATCCCACAAGGGCCAGTGCGTGCCCAGCAGAGCCCATCCCAAATCCCAAAAGCCCTTCCAGCAGAGCCCCTTCCTGCCCCAAAAAGCATCTCTGGGGCCGGTGCCAGGGATGGAGCTGTGTCTGGCAAGCACAGTGCAGCTCTGAGAGCTGAGCCATCTGCTGTGGGCTGGGCACGGGGCCTGGAACCCAGCGGGGAGGTGAGCAGAGCCCTCTTGGCCTCCACAGCCGATCTTTGTGCGCTCGGTGAAGCTCTACAACAACGGGGATTTCCGGAGCAGCGCGGCTGACATGGAGCAGGCACTGGCTGAGTACTACAAGGCGTACGAGGACTGCCTGGCTGGCTGCGAGGGCGCCTATGAGCTGCAGGAGTTCAAGGACTTCTACCCGGCCATCGCAGGTGGGTGGGCAGAGGGCGGGGGGGGGTGGCAATGTGGGGCAATGCCTGACATTATCTTGTCCCCAGACCACTTTGTGAGCGTTCTGCGCTGCAAGGTGGGCTGCGAGAGCGAGCTGACCCCCAACGTAGGCGGCTACTTTGTGGAGAAGTTTGTGGCCACCATGTACCACTACCTGCAGTTCGCCTACTACAAGTGTGAGTGTGGGCTGGGAGTTGGGGGCTGAGCCCCTGGGGTGTCCCAGGGCAGGGTGTCACCTCCGTGTCACACTCTGCTCCCTGCAGTGAATGATGTGAGGGATGCGGTGCGCAGCGTCTCCAGCTACATGCTCTTCGACCCGGATGATGCGGTGATGCAGCAGAACTTGGTTTATTATCGCTTCCACCGCGAGCGCTGGCACCTGCAGGAGGAGGACTTTGAGCCCCGGCCGGTGAGAGCCCCCCCAGCCCCTGCCCTGGGGCTCAGTTGATGTGGGGCTGATGTGCTCCCCACCCCCTGTTCCCAGGAAGCCGTGCGCTACTACAACAGGACGGCTGCACAGAAGAAGATGCTGGAGTTTGCCAGGCAGTTCCTGCAGGCTGACGATGAGGTGGGTGATGACCACTTTCGGCAGCTGCTTTTTGGGGTCCCTTGCGGTTGGGGGCTGTGGGTACCCCAAAGCAGGACCCCTCCCCGTGGGTGTGGTGTGGGGGTCCATCCCTGAGCAGCCCCGCAGGAAGAACCACTGTGGTCACTGCACTGCTTCCTCCTCCCACCCTGTGCTGCAGATGGAGGTGGATGATGGTGAGGAGCCGGACCTGCAGGATCTGCCCTCAGACGGCGAGTTTGAGGGTGAAGGGGACTACGAGGAGGGCTTCTTTGCAGAGTGGTGGCAGGAGCCCAACACCAAGGGGGACAAAGCTGATGAAGGTTCCTGACGCTGGGGCTGGGTGCTGTGATGTGAAGTTGGGGGGGGCTGCTGCCCCGTGGTGCCACCATCCCCTGTGTTTACAGAGAACCTCTGATGCGCCAGGAGAGGGGGATCCTGGCCCTGACAGAGCAGAATGGCTGTGATGCCATCCTGGGGACTCCAGGCTCTTGCTCCATGCTGCACGGGAACACAGGTTCACCGAGAAGGGTCGATCCTGCCCAGTGCTCCCAGCAGGACTGCCCCTTCCACTGGGACGTCGCTGCCCTAATTCCTATCAGAGGAGCAGCCATAACACAGTGACACCACCTGTCCGGTGCCCCCTGAGCCCCCCGGCCCCGATGCCCCTGGAGCCCTGGCTGCGGTGCCCGGTAGCAGCACCGGGATTTGCTGCACCCCTTCACTCCTCCCCAGGCGCCACAGACCAGGGGGCCGGCACCAAACTGCTGTGTCGCCTTGTGGGTTCTGGGCACGGTGGTGGTTCTGCACATCCTCAGAGCTCAGTCGGGGCTCCTGCTCTTGTGCTGGCAGCAGCCCACCCCCACCGGCAGGTCCAGAGACCCCTCTCCCCCCCGGAGCCCACGGCTCGGTGCTGAGCGGTGCTCCCGGGCACGGCATCCCTCTGCCGGAGCATCCGTCACCGCCTCTGCCCCACACGTGCCTTCAACTCTCTCCACACCAGCCCTCCATAGCTTTAAGCTCCGTTAATTTAATACTTCCCGTCTTCTCGCTTTTTTTGTTTGTTCGTTTTGTATTTTAAATGTACTGGTGCTGAACTTTTAATAAAATCCGGACCGGTCTTTTGACGGCTGCCTCTGCCCATGGCTCCTCGGGAGGGCACGCAGAAGTGCTGCGTGTCCCTTCAAAGCCGGGGACAACTTGAAAGACTGGGGAAGGGGGTGGCGGTCGGGACGGGGACCCCAGGCCGAGCTGTGGACGACTGGGCTGCAGACC